TGGTGGTGGTGGTTGTTTTTTACTTCCATGGCATTTTATTTGATTAAAGATATTGATTTCCTTAACAGTCTTTCTTTTTACAGTTGGCGTGCAAGGTCTTAACACTGTGTATAAAAATATGTGGAATCTGTCTAGATGTTTCAGGAGTATTATATTGTACTAGTTGGGAAAATGCCAAGTGAAAAGGCAGCTCTTTGCAGTTTTGATCAGAGTAAGTTTTAGATGATGTGTACATACAAAACCAATCCCAGGAGCTGCAGTAGTGTGTATTGCAAAGAATCAAGGTTATTCAGATACATTTTTTTTTTTTTAAGATGCACTGAATGTGCTTTATCCTCTGTTTCACTTATAAAATTTTTCATGTAATGCCTGGAGAAATTTCAATAAATGTCATTACTGCATTTCCCATGGCCTCTGGCTAGTTTTATTTTTCTATGCTTCAAGTGCCAGTCTCATTCTCAATCATACTGTTTACCTGAAAGATGAAACGATCTATTTTTAATTTCTAGTTGTAGGGGAAAAAAAAACCTGCAGGATTTGTAGAGGATGGAAATTCTTATCGGGGAAAATAGACTTGCATTCTTCTTAACTGAAGATGAGATGATTAAAAGGTATTTTTCTTCTGTAGAAGTTCATTTAGTATGTATGCGTGTTAAGAATAGTAATTTGATGAATGCTGTGCTGTGCATCTGGCTGAGGAGGATGAAGAGAACACCAATCAACAAGTAGGAATAAACCACAGAAGTAAAACGACGATGAGGTAAGTGCCTCTTGACACTAGGACATTTGTGATAGCATTTGTATTCTGAACACAAGTGTGCCTTATAACTGGGTATCTTTAAGGTGCCTGGCTTGAAGTCTGCACTCAAACAGGTGTCCTCCAAACCATCTTCAGATGAATAACCGGCAGGATTATCTAGAAGACTGTGAACTGCATGTGTGTTTGTGTCCAGCTGTTTGTCTCTCCTTGTCTATTGTATAGCTAGTTTTACAGCTGTTCTGTTCTAGTTGCAGTTGTGCAACTGTGAAGAGAGAAATCTGAGGTGCAGTGGGCCAGAGACAGAGCTGCAAGGATATTTGCTTGGGAGAAGGGATGGTTCCTGTGTTCAGACAAAATGTTCTTTTATTCCTACGTCTTGTTTTTCTGCTTTGGAAAATTAAGTTTTCAGAACAAAGCTATTGTTCTGTCTGAGCTAAGCACAACAGTGCTCTCAGTTTTTGCAGTCAAGAACTTGTGAAGAACTAACTTGGAAGGAAAAAGTATCTGCTGTTTTCAGAAACACTTAACATAGACTGGTTTCTGCTGGCAGAGGGCTTTTCTTAAAAGTCTGGGTCTGGGAAGACATCCATGCTTTTAGCTAGCAAACTAGCCTGTAAATGAAGAGTACTACTTGCCAGGAATACAGTTGAAATAGGTCAGTCTGGTAAGAAGGGCTAAGGTAGGAAACTCTCTGATATTCACATCTTTTACGGATGGACAGCTTGGCCAAAGTTTTTTGTTTGGTTGGTTGGGGGTTTTTTTCTCTCCTAAAACCATGAGTATTTATTTAAGGTGCCTTTAAGTTGCATTTTGTTCACTTTTCTCTGAAAAAGCATTAGATTTTACTGAAAAAAAAGAATTGTCTCCTGATAAATGGCATGTTCCAGTTGAAGACCCGAGTTTGTCACAAATCTAGCTAATCTTAAGTTGTTTGATTATGCCTCTTCGACATGACACTGCTTTGCTTAATATCACTACAAGAAAGCTGGACAATTTGTAACATAGGAAAGAATCTCAGCAGTTGGTCCAAGAATTTGGTATTACTAGTGTGATCCAGAGGGTCTACATTTGGACACTTAATCTAAACCTAACACCACATAGGTATTAATGTGAATAGCCTTTTGTGTGTTGAGGGGAATAATCCCAGGCACTGTTAATAGTGATTATCCACTCAATCCTTGTAGTCATAGATTGGTGTTGACAGGCATATGCAGGCCATAACATGTCAAGCTTTATGCCAGGGTACACCTTCCAGTTGAAGAATTGTAATTGATCCTGTATTTCAACTTTTACTGTCAGTGTTAGCCATTGAATGCATTTAACGTAAGTTTTGCCTTCCTCAGTCTTTCTAGTGACTAGAAAGAATAAAATTTCACTTTCTTTTCCAAAAAGGCATATTGAATGTTTAGCTATATCCTTCCTCCAGACATCTGGTGTGCAAGGGATAGAGTTTATATGCTTAAAGTTCAATATGTTAGCTCACTCTGTCTGAAAGCATATTAAACTCAGCAGTGATAGTGAAAAGCTGGGGAGTGAAGCAGAGATTACCGTGTGCCTTGAGCAGCTAATGGGTTGTGTGCTGACTGGCTTGCAAGTGGAATCGGGATGGATTGGTACTTGGTGTGTTGTTTGGTTTTATTTTAGCGTTGACCTTAATTCTGGACCAAAGGAAGGAGCTGGCAGTGTTCCTTTACCAAAATGTTGTATTGAAGTTTCATTTGAGTTGAGAAGGTTTTCCAATCCTTTACTTTTCTCCTCAGGACTCTTGCTCAGCAACCACTTTTTAACAAGGGATTTTGGAATTGTTGTTCGTAGTCTTACCATCAGGAAAACTTCTCTTGGAGCTTATCCAAACTGTTCCTGTACTCACATTACAATTACTCAAGTCTTCCCTCTTGATAAAAGAAATTTAGAAGGTTTTTAATATATTGGTTTTATTTTTGGTTAAGAGTACATGCTGAGAGATGACATAAATGCCATACATCATGTCCTGCTGGAATGTATATGGGGAGGAGTATTGAGTGAGCTTGCGCTTGTAAAACGCTGGATTAAGAGATGTCACGTCCTAGGGTGGGAAGTAGGTCTATATCTGACTTCAAAACTGAGACCTAGTTGCACTGGCTGTGTGTACTCTATGCTGTTACCTGTCTGAATGATTGCGTCAATCGCCTGTATACACTTAGTATTTGGAGTTGCAGATAGTTAGATGTATATGGCCATTTTTGTCTAAAAAGTTTAAACTGCTTGTACCATCAAATTTTGAGCATGAATGAAGCAGGGATTAAAGCATTCTGTATAGTATAAGCATTCTCTTCACGTCCAGAGTAGCCATCCGGCTGAAAACCCTGTTTTAGAACAGAAGAAAAATACAGTGAAGAAAGAGCTGGTTTGAGCCTATAGTTGCTTTTCCCTTGGCTGGGCAAGTGGGCTACTCAAAATAGAATCATAGAGTCTTTCAAGTTGGAAGGGACCCATAAGGCTCATCGAGTCCAACTCACTGCTCCTCACAGGACTAACTAAAACTAAACTATATGACTAAAAGCATCCTCCAGATGCTCCTTCAACTCTTGACAGGCTTGGTGCCATGGGAACTCCCTGGAGAGTGTCCGGTGACTTCTCAGTGAAGAACTTTCTCAGTGAAGAACCTTCTCCTCATGTCTAATCTGAACTTCCCCTGATGCAGCTTCAT